TGCAAAGAGCGTAAGTGAGCGTAACCCCTGGAGTATCGAGGATGTAATACCCATACCCCCTTACAAATGTTAACATAGCTTATATAATAATTTATCATAATTTGACGGTTTCAATATGGAGTCGCCCTGTTTACATTATGCAGTTACAGTTTTAAATCATGTATCTATAAATTATGAGCTGACTGTCAAAGGATTGTAGATTCTGTACAAATTCCATGTTTTTTGTAAGAATAAGTCAGCGTATCTGTGTGTATTATATTAATCATTAATGTGTAGGTTTCCATATGGAGTCCGCCTGTGACTATAAGTATAACGACACAATATACCCTATCGGCTACCGGACACATTCTCACAATCTTGGTAAGTTTCATTTGGATTTTTTTGGTGGCCAAATACACACTATAACATATTAACAAGGAATTAAAATTATTCATAACAGTTATATAAGTTCATGTACGGTATATTTATAAAAAATGTAGTGACAGCTAAAATGATCTTTTGACGTAAAAATAAAAGAAGTTGATTTTAGACCATCGCCGCTATACATGACAATGGCATACTTAGCTCTTTAACTATATATATATATATTGGTCATATTGAAAATAGTAGTACCGGAAAGTGCCGACGGTTTCCGATTGCCAGGGGCCTGTTTGTTTATGCGGAACAACCGATTTCTCTGTTTTGAAATGTAACATTTTCGGGTATAAATCCTGGCGGACCTACAAAAGCCTTGCAAGGCTTTGTTAAGGCTCGACGAAAAATCAGCATCAAATTACTGGGTCCTACCTTATTTCATAAACGAACAATCCAGGTTTAACCGGTCCAACCGTTTGGATCGCGATAATTTTGATGACGTTTGATGCTTTAGGTGTTGTAACATCCGGATACCGTATACGCGATGGAGTGTGGACCGAGATTGGACGCATGTCACCACAACTTCCGCAGGTATTACTGACATTTTCATTGTCAAACGAATTAAAAAAAGTATTTTGTATCAGCTGAGCGGTAGTTGTTTTGATTGGCATACCGTTATTATTATGAAAAACTCATAAAAAATAAAAATGTTGTCAGTAAATTCTTTGAAAAAATTCTCTCAATTTTATTGTGTTTTATGGTCGTATCACCAATCTAACAATCTGAGTCATTTGAATGATTGATCCATAGCTGTTCACAGTGTTATTTAAAGCAAACTGCTAAGCGTTACATTGACAACTATTTTAAATGGCGTTATCCCCGAATCATGTGCCAATACATGTATTTACGTTCAAAGAACTTTGAGGGCAATTTCTGTTTGTCTCATTCATATTGTAAACATGTTATGTAATTTAAGTATTGTTCAATGGATTGTTGCATCTCTCCTTTTTCTACTTAATGACGTTGATCTTTTGTAGACTTTCTACAATGTCACAAACCCTGGTATAGATGTGCGATTTGGAGATATCCTGGTACGTATCAAACCTTTGGATTTAGGCTTCAATCAGGTACGCAGCTGCCTGTACGCTGGTATGCATGTAAATCTACCAAATTTTGAATCAGAAAAGCAAAATAAAACAAAAAGAATGCTGGTTGCTCCCCTGGTTCCACTACCAAGACCCTACCACGGAGCTGCTTCAATTGAATTAATTCAGAACAAGGGCTAGCTAAGTGTCTGTCATTGCTTTCCTTTTATCATATTTTTTTAGGCAACTTATAAAGTCTAACGGTTTTTTGGTCATTTCAGATAAAACAAGTTGTGGACAGATCTTTCATTA